AAAAAAAAAAAAAAAAAAAAGAAGCAGACACTGAAAAGAGTAGTGAATGACTGTGAGCAAGTATCCTCTCATATAGGCTTGCATACATACTCCATAATTATTGTTTGAATCAAGAAACTGCAATGATGAATATATCTAATTATAAGATCCTCTTCACAGATTCGAACACTAGGAATGCTAAGATCACGCTTCCAATCTTTACCTGGTGCATTCAATGCTAGTCTGGTGCCATCTGACAAAAATAGGAAGAGAGGATACTCTCTTTCAAAGCACTTCCATGAGGTTTCTTTAACCCCATGCAGACTTGATATGTTTCTGCCTCCCTAGCTAATGGCTATTATTTATCCATTTTGTTTGCTTCTATCTGAAGGTCAATGCCAGAAGTGAAGCTGCAAAATTTGCTCAGTTGTGGAATGAAGTAATATGTAGCTTCCGTGAAGAAGATCTCATAAGTGACAGGAAAAGCCCCTGGAACTGCAATGTTTCTTTATATCATATCCTGTATATCTATTTTAATATGGAATTGACCAAAAACCTGAAATTATCTACCTCAGGGAGATGGATCTGCTTCTGGTTCCTTACTCTTCAGATCCCAGCTTGAAAGTCATTCAGTGGCCTCCATTTTTGCTTGCTAGCAAGGTAAAAAGAAAAATGCTTTTATTTTTTGGCTGGTAAAAACATGTTGATATATTCATGTTTAATTATTTGACTCTCGATCTTTGTAGATCCCGATAGCAGTAGATATGGCTGCTCAATTTCGGTCAAAAGATACCGACCTTTGGAAGCGTATAAGTGTTGATGAGTATATGAAGTGTGCTGTCATTGAATGCTACAAGTCCTTTCAAATGGTACTGAATGCCATGATTGTTGGAGAGACTGAGAAAAGGTTGTACATGTTCATTACTGTTCATAAACTCCAGTTTCTTGTGGTACTATTTAATAATCACTGTGAAATATATTACTATTTCAAGCCTTCCCAGCTGCTATACGTCATACTGCATACATATATTTACATATTATTTCATACTACATACGAGTAGTTATTAGGCAGTTTTTTGTTTTAGTAGAATTATTATATGCACTTTCCTCCTTCCCAACCTATGCTCTTCGTCATTCTCTCTCCACATTCCATACACAGTGCTTCTTGATTCGTGGCAGCCAGATATACTAACAACTTTCATATTAGCCTTTGTCTGAAGCATTAGTATGTGCAACTTCGCGCTACCGTAATATACCATGGATTGGCCCCTTGAATTTGATTAATACACCACACAAAACCAAAGTTAATGTAGGTGTTAAGCATCACACCACACAATATTTTTCTTTATTTTTTCTCCATAGAAAACTTGAGATGCTGCAAAGAGGATAAATATATTTGGTGCATTGCTGTTCTAATCGCATCTGAAACAGGATAATTGCAATTATCATAAAAGAGGTTGAAAGCAGCATATCAAAGAACACTTTCCTTGCGAATTTCAGAATGAGGTTTTTACCCGATCTCTGTAAGAAGTTTGTGGAACTTGTGGAGATACTGGTATGCTATTTATAATAGAAGTGCATTCTGTATCACACTTCTGGCTTTCAAGTGTCATGGATGTAAATGTGATTTTTTTTTTTCCTATTTGCAGAAAGATAGTGATCCATCAAAGAAAGATACAGTTGTTTTACTGCTGCAGGATATGTTGGAAGTAGTTAGCCGTGACATGATGGCGAATGAGATCCGGTTGGTAATAGTGCATTATTTATAAATGACTTTTCTACCTCTGAAGTTATTCCTTTTATAGATGTTCTCATTAACATCTTTACTAAGTTTTTGCTTTACCAACTGCAGTGAACTTGCTGAAGTTGGTCAGGGAAGCAAAGAGTCCGGCAAGCAACTTTTTGCAAATATCATGTATCCTCCCCCAAATACAGCACAATGGGAAGAACAGGTACATATGTGTCTGAATTTGCACCAGAGATATGCCACAACCCTGTTAACAAAAATGTGGAACATCAAGTGGTCATATGTGAAGCACCACTTTGTTTGTTTGAATCACAGATACGGCGCCTTTATTTGCTACTGACAGTTAAGGAATCTGCAATTGATGTCCCAACAAACCTTGAAGCACGGCGGAGAATAGCATTTTTTACGAATTCACTTTTCATGTATATGCCGCACGCTCCTCGAGTGCGAAAAATGCTGTCATTCAGGTGCTGTTCATAGTCCTTCCATTATATGGAATGCACATAGTATGCGGCGCCTATATTTCCTCCATTTCATTATTAGTTACTTCAAAAGCTGGTTACTGTTGGAAGTTTCAATGCTTCTGAATAATTTGGTCGTTCTATTGTGGTTGTCTAATACTTCCTGATCAAGTATGAACTGTTCAATGCTAGAGTTTAGCTAGCACGGAAACATTGGTGATTTGTTAAAAAACCTCCTTAAGTTATTATTGTCAACTGAAAGTGCTAAACTTATTGCTTCACAAGTTGAGAACCGTTGAACTTGACTACAACTCTAGGAATTTGAAACTATATTCACAATTTCTAATCTAAGGGGTCACAAAAACCATGGTTTTAGAAGTAAATTGTAGATCGATTACAAAGGTTATTTGGTTCTTATTGCATGTGCTTGTCATTTTTGGACTAATCATGCTACTGCGTTGTCTTCCAAAATTTAAAATTGGCATCTGTCATTGTAGTGTCATGACTCCCTACTACAGTGAGGAGACTCTCTACTCAAAGATTGACCTCGAAATGGAAAATGAAGACGGTGTCTCAATTTTGTATTATCTACAAAAGATTTATCCAGGTCTGCTATTGTTCTTAACATGCATATTTGAAAGATTATTTTCGCTGCTATATATTTCAAATATGGTGTCATTTTATTAACATCTATAATAATACTTGTTCAGATGAGTGGAACAACTTCATGGAACGTTTGAATTGCAAAGATTCTGAAATTTGGGAAAACGAGGAGAACATACTGCAATTACGACATTGGGCCTCGTTAAGAGGACAAACTCTTTGCAGAACTGGTTGGTTGAGTCTATCCTTTTGCCTGGAATTCCCTTTCTCCTCTTCTGGAATGCTCTCTTAATTCAAAACTGATTATTGAACAATATGTTTCTTCATTCAGTCAGAGGGATGATGTATTACCGGAGGGCATTGAAGCTTCAAGCTTTTCTAGACATGGCTACAGAAGATGGTAATAAAAAAGTCTTCTCCTCTAACATGCAACTACTCTTTGAGAATGTGAATGAGATGAAAGTTGACAAAAGGAAGATATCACAATATGATGTCTCAGTTAGTGATTAAATGTTGGGCTACCACTGGTCAGCCCTTAGAAATATAAGAGAAAAAGACTAACGTAGCTAGTGTTATAGTCTATAGGATTAATTTTTGAAACATAATAAATAAAAGTTAGTGTGCACTTTATTCCAATGTTCTAATATTTGCAAGTTATTCCTAAACTTCAAGCCTCATTTTTTTTTGCAAAGGCACATGCAAAATTTTATTAAACCACACAAATTCCAACATTAATAGTTAATATACTAATAAATTAAAAAATACATTAAAAACATCAAAGTTATCTCATAATATACAAAAACAACACATAACAATTTTCTTTGTACCACATATCATATGTACGAAGTAGAACACTCATGCTTTTTCAATGGCCTAATCAACTTTCATTAAGAATAATCCATGTTCACTGTTTTGAAGATCTCGTCAAACAATTCATTTGCAACTTCTCCATGCTCTACCACTTGAAGGGTTATCAGTAGTGCCATAATATTATCTGATTTCTCTTTCGTCATCCTCTTTCGATTGGGCTTGAAAGGATAAAGATGTCTGGTGAACTAGGACTTTTCTCATTGTGGGTTAACCATAACATTTTAAAGTGAATGGTACTAGAAAATGATAATAATAAAGGGGAAAAAAATAATCAGAAGTAAAAAAGACTATGAAAGGAAACCTAAAAAAATAGGTCTGCTTCGTGCGAGTCAACTCACCGTCTGCCTCACACTCAGGACCCGAGTGTTTCTATTTTCACCTTTAACTTGTATGACTCGGTACAATAGACCACCTCCTCGCCTTGACTCCTGATTCAACTCATGCGAGTCATCCATTTCTTAAAACATTGCTTTATTCTCAACATATTGTTCACCTGCTACTGCAAACGGCTCAAACAGATTTTAAGTAAATTATGTTTCAGGACACAAATCGCATAAGTAATTATCAGACTACTAAAAAACTTTCTGACAGCTTTTGCTTAATGTGAACAGAGATACTTGATGGCTATAGAACTATTACTGAACCATCAGCAGCAGATAAGAAGAACCAAAGATCCATGTCTACTCAGTTAGGCGCTATAGCTGATATGAAGTTCACTTATGTTGCTACTTGCCAAAACTATGGGAACCAGAGGAGAAGTGGAGATCGGCATGCAACTGACATTTTAAACCTGTTGGTTAAGTGAGTTTTTTCACTTACAAACAGAAGAAATAGTCTAGTACAGCTCTTCTGTAATCTAATCCTAATGTGCCCATTCAAAATATCTAGTGAAGTCTTGTTACCTTGAATGCTAATTTGCTCAGTTAATTGCATGTACTGGTCTTTCTACTACTTTGCAGCAATCCTTCTCTTCGTGTAGCATATATAGATGAAGTTGAGGAACGAGAAGGCGGAAGAAATCAGAAGCTTTATTACTCTGTATTGATTAAAGCTGTAGATAATCTTGATCAGGTAATTTCTTTTCTCTTTATTTGTTCCTTCCAAAGTGAATTCATTTGACTTCAAGGGTGATTCTATTTTGTTTCATTTATAAAGGAAATCTACCGTATTAAGCTGCCTGGGTCAGCAAAGATAGGAGAAGGGAAACCTGAAAACCAAAATCATGCTATAATTTTTACTCGTGGAGAGGCTCTTCAGACCATTGATATGAACCAGGTAATGCTGAAGAAGTGTGAAGTCATTACTTCAATCATGATCTTATGGAAGCAATTAAGCAAATCAACTTTCTCGACACTTTTGTAGGATAATTATTTGGAAGAAGCTTTTAAAATGCGTAATCTACTTGAAGAATTTAATGAAGATCATGGGGTACGTCCACCTACAATCCTAGGTGTTCGTGAGCATATTTTCACTGGAAGGTGGGGTAGTTGCAACTTTTGGTCTGTTTTTTTCTATATTCATGTTCAGCTTTCATTCTAAACATTTCTCATCTTTAATTGCAGTGTCTCATCGTTGGCTTGGTTCATGTCAAATCAAGAAACAAGCTTTGTCACTATTGGCCAAAGAGTCCTTGCAAGGCCTCTGAAGTATGTTTTTCCATCTTCATGATTTTTTCATAAATAAAGTGTTCATAAATAAAGCTATCAACAAAATTGGAACTGTTACTTGGTTTGGGTTCAGTAGATTTCCAAGAAATTATGTACTGCTATACTCTATTTCGTAGAGGGCACTCATACCTTTAGCTGGTACTCAGAAGATGTCAATGTACAATATTGGAAATTTTACAGTATAAAAGCTCTACGATACCGTAACATTTTCCCCATTGTCATTGAGGAGGAAATGAAAGGGTTCAGATCTTCCCTGAATGTTAAATTTGTAAAAAAATCTCGTCCTTCCTAGTCCACCTACTAATATCACATAAGTTTTAAAAAAAAAAAAATCTACTCCAATAATGTTTCTACAAAGTCAAATAAAGGTTATGCTTTACCAATATTCCCTCTTTGACTTATTTATATTGCAGAGCTTCATAGAACTTACTATTCCAAAATGTTTTCTTTTGTACAGAGTGCGCTTCCATTATGGACATCCAGACGTTTTTGACCGAATTTTCCACATAACCCGAGGAGGCATCAGCAAAGCTTCTAGAGGAATCAATCTTAGTGAGGACATTTTTGCTGGTGAGAACCTAAAATCATTTATTCTCACATTATATGCATTTGTGCATGCATTCTAATGTGCCTTATTTTCCAAAGGTTTTAATTCAACACTAAGACGTGGAAATATAACTCACCATGAATACATTCAAGTTGGGAAGGGTCGAGATGTAGGTCTCAATCAGATCTCGCTTTTTGAGGCCAAAGTTGCATGTGGTAACGGGGAGCAGACCCTCAGCCGTGATATCTACAGATTAGGGCATCGGTTTGATTTCTTCCGCATGTTGTCATGTTACTATACAACCACTGGTTTTTATGTGAGCTCAATGGTAATGTATTCCTCATCCTGATCTTGTCTCAGGATATGTGAACCAGAGTTTTCTTTAATAATTTATAAAATTGAATTTGACTATAACAAGGTGTCTTGCTGGTGATTCTATCCTTTATTTTTCTTTACTGTAGAGAAAGATAACAAAAAATAAAAGTTTGAGAGGAGCTCCATTTATATATTATAAATAGTTATGTAATTGTGGTTAGGCTTATCCATATACTTACAGTCTTTTGCTATCTTGTTGGAAATGGGAAAATTCCTATTGTACAATCCCAAGCCAGAAGTGGGTTAGCTCCACCTTAATATTTCAGCAGCTTGACTACAACATTGGTGTAAGCTATGGCATTAAGTGATGACATTGTTCCTTGATGTATGCACTATGCAGTTGGTGGTCCTTACAGTGTATGCTTGCTTGTATGGTAAGCTCTATCTTTCATTAAGTGGACTCGAGAAGACCATAGTCAGATTTGCAAGAGCTAAAGGAGATGATGCTCTTACGGCTGTCATAGCCTCTCAATCCATTGTTCAACTTGGTATCTTGATGACATTGCCCATGATTATGGAAATTGGATTGGAGAGAGGCTTTAGAACTGCAGCTGGTGACATTATAATTATGCAGCTCCAACTGGCAGCTGTCTTCTTTACTTTCTCTCTTGGCACAAAGCTCCATTACTTTGGCCGAACACTTTTACATGGTGGGGCCAAATACAGGGCCACTGGTCGTGGTTTTGTGGTTAAACACGAAAAGTTTGCCGAGAATTACAGAATGTACTCAAGAAGTCATTTCACGAAAGCTCTGGAGCTGATGACTCTGCTCATTGTTTATCAAGCTTATGGGAAACCTACTCCAGATTCTATGAGTTATCTTGTCCTCACCTTCTCAATGTGGTTTCTCGTTATTTCCTGGTTGTTTTGTCCCTTTCTTTTCAATCCATCGGGATTTGAATGGCAAAAGATAGTGGAGGACTTTGAGGACTGGACTAAGTGGATAAGTAACCATGGTGGTATAGGTGTTCCAGCTACCAAGAGTTGGGAATCATGGTGGGATGAGGAGCAAGAACATCTCCAATACACTGGTTTTTCAGGGAGGTTTTGGGAAATCATACTGTCTCTGAGATTCTTCTTGTACCAGTATGGAATTGTTTATCAGTTGCATGTAACCCAGCATGACAAAAGTATTCTGGTGAGCACCAGAAATTTTAATTTCAAAGTTATGATGATATCTTTAGATTCATTTCTGAATAAATCGAGTTATTTTCTACTTTTGTCTGGTAAGCATATCATCCCNCACCTAAAAAAAAATGGAAAAAAAAAAGTCCTCGGAAGTCCTTTGTTTATGAAGAGAGAATGTAAAACCGAATGAATCAGAAGTTTTTTCTTTCTTTTTCATTTTATTAAAACCCTCTAAATATTTTGTTAAATAGGAAAATGCTTCTTCCCAGCCATTGTTTATCTGGCCAATGAAACTGTAGATTGCATGGAATTTTTTGCTTCTCATTTATTATTATTTTTATGGTTGCAGGTTTATGGTTTGTCTTGGCTGGTTATTGTAGCTCTAATGATCATCTTAAAGGTTAGCATCGAACAGTAGTACAGTACCCTTTGCATCTATCCTTTTATCTTAATCTAATAACCAAAAAAGGAAAAACGAAAGAAAGAAAGAAAAAAAAAAAAAAATTAACCTGAATTCAATGGAAATGTATCTCCAGATTGTGTCCATGGGGAGAAAGAAATTTAGTGCCGATTTCCAGCTGATGTTCAGACTTCTGAAGCTATGCATGTTCATTGCCTTTGTGGTCGGACTCATTATGTCCCTTAAATTTCTCGAGCTCACGGTTGGAGATATTTTTGCGAGCTTGCTAGCTTTCTTGCCAACCGGATGGGCACTTCTGCAGATAGGACAAGCTTATAGACCAGTCGTCAAGGCATTTGGAATGTGGAACTCGATTCAAGCTCTTGCGAGAGGTTATGAGTACCTTATGGGATTTCTCATCTTTGCTCCTGTTGCAATACTGGCCTGGTTCCCGTTCGTCTCTGAGTTCCAAACAAGGCTGCTTTTCAATCAAGCCTTCAGCAGAGGTCTGCAAATTCAGCGTATTCTGGCTGGTGGAAAGAAGAACAAATGAGCTGGTTAATGTGTGTGTAAAATCTCATGCAATGTGAATTTTGTTAACATTGCTATTGGGGTATTCTATTTCCAGACTGTACGAAATAGTGCCTCCAATCTGATTCGATTTCGAAAGTGCAAAAAGTGTGTGTACATTGTGCAACTTCTGGGAACGTGTATATACAGCTCGATATGCATGATAACTTTTTTGTGTATAGAATATCTGTATGGCAATCGAAGGAGGATAGAGTTCAGCAAACGCATAAATATAATTTCATGTCAGTCTCCTGATCTGATCAATATAAGGCATCTAATGGTTAATCGTTGTTGTCTCTTAATGGCCTAATGCAAACTCTCCTTTTACTATCAAAGTTTGGAGTTGCTCAATGTTAGAGCATTATAGACTTTATTGGCATGTTTATATCACTTTTAACACATCAGCAAGTGTCGACTTGAAAAACAATCATTCTCCAATAGCTAATGTCCAATATATGCACAGATGCCAAATCCTGTAGTAGGCGAATGGGTAGTCTATCATCATCGTACATGCAAAAGATGCACAACCCTCATTTCTAATTTTCTATATCTATATTTGTATCTATATCTATATCTATACTATTATAAAGGAGCCAATGATCTATATCTATCTATATCTATATCTACATTTATATTTATATTATATTATATTATATACTATTATAAAAGAGCCAATGAATCTGTAAAATTATGATATGCCTACAATATCCTTACTTTATCATCTTTGTAATGGCATACCTATAATTTAATATCCACTTTATACTATGACCTGGTGTGATTCCGAAAGCTTGAAGCAAACTAATTAAGGGACTTTTTAATTCCCTATTCCTTACTATTACTATAACTATTTTTTTTTTCTTTTCAAAATCGGGAAATCCCTTTTTTTTTTCGCAACGAAAAGAATAATTATATAGCAACTCAAAGAGTATTTACAGAGTACAAGAAGGCGTGCACTCAGGCACAAGACTTAACTGTCATGAAGAAGCTAAGTGAAAGTGGGAACAACCCACAAACTAGAGCAAAAGGAAAACAAGCTAGAACTAAGCAACCATTTAATCCAAAACAAACTAAAACTGGGAGTAAGAGAAGAGAAAAAAAAATAAAATATACACCACCAAAAGGGAAGCAACTGCAGCTTTAAGACATAGGTAGATACTCTGCCACTGAGCCCATTGCTCCTAGCTTAGTATCCACATTGAAGCAGCCCTACCAGATTATCAAAAGCACAAAAATTCAAGCAAGGGTATTATGAGAGTTGATGCTCTCGAATTCCATCCATTTGTTCCAAGCTTGATTAGCAATTTCTCTTTCAGATTTTCAAAGATTATTAAAGATCCACAAATTCCTGCATTTCCACAGTCTCCATAGAATGAAAGTGGAGAAGTGGATTCTGTCATTGAAGCTTTTGACTTTCTGCATGTTGCATATGTCGGTCCACCAATTTTTAAAAGTTAAAGAAGGATTTTGCATACCCGACCATTCAATGCCTGCTAATTTCCAGACTTTAGCCACTCTTTGACAGGAGAAAAGGATATGTTCTAGGGATTCTTCAGAGTTTCCACAAACTTTGCAAATCGGGTCAGCCTGAATTCCTTTGAGCAGAAGCTGGTCTTGCGAGCCAATGAATTTATGCCAACATCGCCATATAAAATTTTTTATTTTGCTTTTTGTTTTCATGGACCAAGTTATTTTCCAGACTTCGGCTATAAGAATTCTTGTTGTACTCGATTCTGGAACGCATTTGGCAGCTTGCTTGCTTTGAAGGATGAGTGAGTAGGCCGACTTAACCGTAAATTTCCCGAGCTTGTAGGGCCTCCATATCAGACTATCCTTGTGACTTTATCTGTTGAGTGTCGTGGACAGGATGATTGAGCTTCATGGGGAGTGAAAGATTGTTCAATGGGCTCTTTGTCCCAGGAGTTGCCATCATGGTTTAACAGGTTGCACACCTTATCCAGCCTTTTGGAGTCAGAGATGAAGCTAGGTGTAGGGCTCAGATTGGGGGTGCTAGCTAGCCATGGATCAGTCCAGGTAGAGGTTGACTTCCCATCGCCTATCACTTGTAAGGTCCCCTTTTTGAGCTGGTGTCTACATTTCAGCCACGAGCTCCAAAGCCATGAGTCAGTGGATCTATGCTTGGCTTCCCAAAGTGAGCAATTATGGTAGTACTTACATTTAAGAACCTTGCTCATGAGAAGATTAGGGTGATTGAGCAGTCTCCACAATTGCTTGGAAATGAGCGCTTCATTAAAGGAGACAAGACATTTGAATCCGAGTCCTCCATCCTCTTTTGGCTTAGATAATTTGTCCCGCGATGCCCAGTGGATTTTTTTACCTCCATCCACTTTTTTCCCCCACCAGAAGGATGCAGTGATCTTGTTAATCTCTGAGCAAATTCACATAGGTAGCTTGAAACATGACATGGTGAAGGTGGGGAGAGCTTGGATGACTGATTTAAGAAGAGTTTCTTTTCCAGCTTCGCTTAAAAAAATATTTTTCCAAGAGTTAAGCCTGTTAGTTACATTGTGGACCACAAAGCTGAAAGCTTCCTTCTTGGAGGAGTCAATACCTAGGGGAAGACCTAGGTATTTAGAGGATTGGACTGTAGAAATACCACTCAAAATGGTACTGATCTCGGCTCGGGCATAGGTAGTAGTGTTCTTGGAGAAGTAGACTGATGATTTGGATAGGTTTACTCGTTGACCAGAGTCAAGGCCGTAGATTTTCAGAATGTTGGATATGAGGATAGCATGAAAAGGGTCGGCTTTGCAAAAAATGATGGAGTCGTTTGCAAAAAAGAGGTGGGTCACCGAAGGGGAGTGTTTGCTAATTTTAATGACTTGAAATGAGTGGTGGAGAGAGGCTTGCTTGATGGGGTTTGAAAAGGCTTCCGAGATTATAATGAACAAGTAGGGCGAGAGGGGGTCGCCTTGTCTCAAGCCCCGAGAGGGTTTAAGGTTTCCAAGGGGTTGGCCATTTATGTTAAAAGCAAAGGAAGCAGAAGTGACACAAGTCATGATCCAGGAAATGAATTGAGGACAAAAGCCTTTTTTTTGCAAATAGCAGACTGTTAACTTAACTGATGCTCAGACTGTTAACTTAACTGTCGCATTTTAGAAGTGGGATGGTTAGGACTGAATTATTTGTTTCCTAAATCCTTCTCGACCGGGGCCCCCGACTTTGGGTTATTGCACGTACGGTGGCCGATCGAGTCGAGGAGCCCGGGTGGTATCGTTTTTCACCAACATTGCCGCCGTCTGTGGGGACTCGTTCGAGAAGCCAAATGGTGTCCCGATCAAAAATTTAAAAACAAAAGCTCCTTTGACTCTACCGGCCACCACGAGCGCCGCCGCCAGCCACCACCGCCACCGTCGGCCTCTAGCCAAAATACTCGGATCGGAAAAATTATTGTGTCATTGGATAGATCTCTTCGAGGTGAATGTACCCTTGCAATTTTATTGAAAAATTCCTACCGGAAGGTCATCAAATCGCCGGACAAATTTTCAGTTTTCAAGGTAATTTTTTGGTAACTTCCAGCATTCAAATCAATTTTCCCGGCAATTCGAAAAAGCTATCATAAATCCGATGGTACCATTGGATTCCTCTCGTCAAGACGAGTCTATAGGTCCTAACCATCATTGAAAACCGTCGCCAGAAGCCGCCGGTCGCCGCCGCCTCCGACACCGGCCGCCGGTCAAAGTTCTCCTATTGGGAAAATGTTGGTACCATCATGAAGCTTTCCTCGCGCTCATTCTACACTTAAAATCTCGAGCAAAAATTCCTTCGGTAGGGCATCAATTTTGCGGTCGAAATATTTGGATCTAAAGTATTTTTTGGTCAAATCGGTTTTCTTCTTCATTTCTCCAGCGATAGCCAGTGAATCGCGCCTAACCGAAGACACTATCAAGACCGCACTGTCGAGGCGTGCACAGGACCGTTTCTTTTTCTGGAGACGATGTTTGATCTTTTCCGGCAACATTTTATCTTTCTCATTCAAAGTCAAGGTTCTGTTCGCGCGCAGTGACCAGCTCAGCTGGTGTTGGTCCGAGTAGCCCAACATTTTCGCACAGGAGAGCAGGCCAGCACGCTCCGTAGCCCAACAGCATATCGAGCAGCCCAATCGGCCAAGCCCAGCACAAGTTTTAGCTGCGGCCCAGCAGAATTGAGCGAAGCCCAGTACGTTGCCCAACACCCTCCAGTCCAGTGCGCGGGCCGCGTCCAGCCCGTGTGGCCCATTTCTCCCTCAGCTGTCAGCCCGCGCAGCCCACCCAGCCTGCATCCGGCCCGTGTGACAGCCCACTTCCCACGCAACACCTGGCCTGAGAGGCTCACTTCCAACCCGCGAAGCCCAATCCCGACCCAGCACACCTATGACCCGCTGAAAGCCTTCTTTTCTCATGGATTTCGCTCCGTCTGTGGCCCAGCCCCAGCCCACACTTTTCCAGCCCATATCCGCGTGACCCAGCGCCTTGTATACAGCCCATGAGGTGCCCAAACTCTTCCAATGCAGTCCAGTGAGCGAAAATAGCACCATTTCATGCCCAAGGCTAATTCGGGAGAATTCAATTTGTTCGGGAAGGTAAATTTAGGTCACATTATCATGATGAAGGTGCGACGCTCGTTTAAATTATTGACTTGAGGATTTAAATTGGCAAAATTTGGATAAATTATTTGATTTAAATTGAAAAATTTGGAGGCTTGAAGATTTTAATTGGTAAAAATAGAAAAATTATTTGATTTATTTGATTCGTTCGTGGATATTACTTGATTTGGTCGAGGATATAATAGTTTATTTATTCATGACGTTACTAGATTTCTTCATGAAAAATATTGGATTAATTCGGGGAGGTGTTTGATTTTATCGTGAGGTATTCTTGGACTTATTTATGGAACTAATTGATTTATTTGGAGGCATATTATGGAATTTATGCTTGAAAATATTTAATTGGCTTGTGGGATGATATTTGACTTCTTAATGAGAAT